AGAACCTAGAGACAGGACTTGGCTGGAGATCCCACACAGAACCTAGAAACAGAACCTAGAGACAGGACTTGGCTGGAGATCCCACACAGAACCTAGAAACAGAACCTAGAGACAGGACTTGGCTGGAGATCCCACACAGAACCTAGAAACAGAACCTAGAGACAGGACTTGGCTGGAGATCCCACACAGAACCTAGAAACAGAACCTAGAGACAGGACTTGGCTGGAGATCCCACACAGAACCTAGAAACAGAACCTAGAGACAGGACTTGGCTGGAGATCCTAGACAGAACCTAGAGACAGAACCTAGACAAAGAACCTAGTGAGAGAACATGGCAAAAGATCCTGAACAGAACCTGACTACAGAACTTGGCAAGAGAACCTAGAACCAGAACTTCACTGGAGATCCTAACCAGAACTTGGCTGGAGATCCCGACCAGAATTTTGGCTGGAGATCCTGGCTAGAGATCCTGGTAAGGCTGCTGATCAACTGAACGCTGCCTCCGAGTCCTTCCTTCTTTGCCGACTCCGTCCACACCTTTGGGGACCCCTGGACCTGCTGGGGTTGGACCCCAACACCACTGGATATGCCCTAGGTCAAGGGGAAAATGAAATAATGGAGAAGCCTTAACATCCCTAACTACCTTGGCCCAGAGAGAAAGTATGTTTATTTCTCATGTTCCATTGGTAAAAATCTGTCACAGGGGAGACTGGGAAATGTAGTCTAGATGGGTGCCCAGAAAGAATTGAGCAACTGAATTATTTGGATTACAGCAGTTTACACACAGCTTTTTTGGCCGCTGTCTGCAACTATTGCCTTATATCAGCGGTTCTCAACCTGTGGGTCACTACCCCTTTGGCGGTCGAACGACCCTTTCACAGGGGTCGCCTAAGACCATCCTGCATATCAGATACTTACATTATGATTCATAACAGTAGCAACATTACAGTTATGAAGTAGCAACGAAAATAATTTTATGGTTGGGTCACAACATGAGGAACTGTATTTAAAGGGCCAGAAGGTTGAGAACCACTGCCTTATATGAAACGCACTGTCCATTTAACCAGAAATTTCTTACAAAAAGCCATGTGAATTACACTGTCCTGAATTAGTACATTTGGTTTATTAGACTCAAGAGTAGATATATTTGAATATTAAAAAATATTGAATATCGCTTGTAATTGAAAAAATTTTTAAATGTAAAGAGTAGATATATTTGTTAATTCTTTGTATGATTCTATTCAGGCCATTTGTTTTGTTTTGACTTCAATCTTTATTGTCACAGGTACTATATGCTAAAACCTCCCTGTTCATATCATCTTATCTACTGTATATTTCATAAAACTGTTGTTATAGCCTCAACAGAGACCTTAATTAAAAGTTGGGCTATCTGGGCCAGAGGACTGAGCACTATGGTACACTATTAGAAAGCCTCTTTAAGGACAATGGAAATGAGCATCCTTCGTATTTAGTCATTCTTAAGATTATGAAGTCACACACACACACACACACACACACACACACACAGTCATCCCACATGAAATACATTTCTATTTGTCATTTCCTTGTTTGAAATCCATCATACATTTATTGAATGAACATTTTCTTAACCTTTACTGTGGGCCATGTACCTTGCTAAGCTTTTGGTACATTTCTCTTTAATCCTCACCTGTACCTATAAAGTAGTTATGCTCATTTTATAAATAAAGAAACTAAAACTTAGGGAGATTAAGAAATCCACTAAAGCTATGTAGTTTATAGCCAGAATTAAACCCTGATGTCTGTCTCCAAAGCCTGTTTTCATGTGCTTCATTCCCTTGTACCTCAGTGGGTCCTCTTCTCTGTTCTTCTCTGTCTTGGGACCCAAAGTGGGTGGGGTTGGAGAGGGAGGGGTAACCTCAGCACCAACATAACTCGATTATTCTCTAGGGACCATTGTTATGTTCATTGTCACTCATGATCTTCCCAAGATCCAATATCAAATAAACCAAACCATAGATTTCTCCATATCCACTAGACCTTCTTGCCGGCCTCTCCTCTTGTCATACTTTGACTCTATTGGCCACTCCTGCTTTCTTTTCTTGGTCCCAGTGATACCTCACTCTCCTGATTCCCTTCTCTCCCTTGGCCATCCCTTCTTGTCTTCTCCTCTACTCAGCATTGCATGTTTTTCTTCCTTAAAGATGGAATCCAGGACCCATCTTCTCATCCATGCCAGTGGCTACATCACCACATGTATGTAAAAAAGTCCAAATGTACATATGCCATTTTAGGCTTTCCTCTGAGCTTCAGGCTCAAAATATCCAATTACTTCCTTGATTCATCACATGCAACAGCCCAAAAGCAGACATGAGCTTCCCTGACAAACCTGGTTTTCTCCTGGGGTTCTCTCAGCTCACTGGACAGTACCCCTACATACCAGAATCTGAGAATCACCTCTCTGGCCCTACCCATATCATCCTGTCATTTTTATCTCATAATTATCTTAATATTCATTTATTCTCTCCATTTCTGCCAATTCCACTTAAATCCAGCCCTTTTGTGCTGTCTCTTATGAAATAGCCTGCCGGCTGATCTGCCCACATCCATCCTGGTCTCCTGACAATCCCCACCCCACATTGCAACCAGAGTGACCTCACTAAAACCTAAATCGATTTACACCTTCCTCTGCTTTAAATTCCTCAATGGCTCCCCATTGTTTCCTGACCCCTAACCACACAGACCTTTTCTTAGCCCCCCTTAGATGCCACGCTTCCTCCTGCCACAGAACACTTGCACATGTTGTTTCTTCTGCCTGAAATACCCCTTCCTATGGCCATCCCACCACCTTTCCTGAAATAAATCATATACATGCCTCACCTATGGCAAATAACACTTCCCAGGAAGACTATGTCCATTTCCTTGTCATACGCTCACACTTACAAACCTTTTTCTTTGTCGTTATAGATTTAGTCTGGTGATTCTATGATTAATGTCTGTCTTCCACACCAAGCGATAACTCCCACAGGGGCAAAGCCCTTGTCTTCTTTCCTCCTCTGTTGTATCCAAGTACCTAGCACATTTCTATTGAGTAAATGAATGACCCAAACTATGCTCTAATTCTAATCTTTTAATTTCCAGGAAACTGCCCTGGTTTAATGAAAACTAAAATATCCACTTCATGATTAAATGTTGACTTCATAGAATTCATTGTGAGATGGCCAGAGCCAAAATTTCACCTAACCAGTGGAAGCATATTCATTCGTGTGCATGAAGTCTACCATATTACTGCACAGCACATGATAAAACATAAACTCCAAGCTGGAATGTTTTCCAATCACGAGCTATTAATAATTTAATAAAATTAATTCAAAACACTTCACTCAACATTGAAACAGAGATGAGGAGGAAATGATGCGTGTGCCAGTCTTCCAGGGTAGAATTAAATATGGCAAATGAGCAAAAGAAAAAAGCCACCAACCCTTGTTTAGAATGAAAGTCGCTCGTTAGAATTTAAAACAAATTTTATGTTTTTCTAAAGATATTAAAGAACAAACATCAGAGATGTAAATAAAATCTGTGCTTTCAACAGGTGAATGATTAAACATGCTAAGAGTTATTTGTCAGACCTCAGAAAAGAAGAGAAAATTTGAAAGAATTTTTTTCTTCACTGTGAAGCAATAATCAAGTCAAAGAATCATTTCCAGTAATTATTATTATTAGGAGCAATCAGTGGGAGGAAAAAGTAAGACAGACAGTCCACAGAGCATAGAATTAGTCCAGAGGATCCTACAATTTTCACTAGAATGGTGTGGGGAAGCAGAAGACATTTATTAGAAAAACAGGTAAGTCAGGAGTGGAACAAAGTTTCCCACTCAAATTTTTACATTGGCTAGCACAGTCAGCTGAATTCTCAACCCCAAACACCAAGAGTGAAAAGGAGAAAGATGGTGAGCAAGCTGCCGTCATCATTACCCAGGAGAGGTGAAGGGGGAAACTGCTATGAGGTGTCAAAAGTATGTAGACCAGTGGTCCCTAAACATCAAAGCCTCACAATCACGCGAGGGCTTGTTCAAATGCCCGGGAATTTGTATCCATGGGCACTGCTGCTCCAGGGACCACCATTTGAAAACCACATGCAAAACTTCTAATAAGAATGAGCACTTACTCTGTGCTGAGGGTTTTACCTATGTCATCTCATCTCATCTTTATCACAACACTGTGCGAGGGAACAAATATCCTCATCTTACAACAAGAAAACTGAGGCTGAGGCCTTAGGTGGCTGGCCAGCCCAGTGAGTGGAAAGTTCTGCCTAATTCTAAAGTCCAGTGATCTTAACTGCTACCCTCTACAGTCTTCTCAGCATTGACTCAGCATTAAGAACCTCCTTTCAAACTAGGACACTATTAATTCTAAAAGTCATTGATTCCCCCCCAAAAAAAAATTTTTTTTTAATCATTACAAAGTGTATAGCAGCAGTAAGCCTACACACACACCATAAGGTGGTTATGGTTATTGGTGCTGCAATAATGTCCCATGAAAAGGATAATTAACAATGTTGCAGACAGCAACTGGATATACATGCCGGACCCAAAGTGAGAAATGGAATAAGAGAATGGCAGGTTCCAATGGAATCATGTTTGGGATGGAGAAGAGTGGACCTTACCAGGAAGGAGTTATAGTGAAGACAACCAGGAGGCATCAAAGGCCCTGGAGAGTAGATGCGGACAAAGAGAAAGGAGCTAGAAATCAGAGATCAGGACATAAGGAACACTGCCAAGGTGAAGCATGACCCTAGCAGAAGCAAAGAGGAGCAGGGGGAAGTTTGTAGAGGTGCTATTTCATGTAAATTCATTCTTGTCACAGCACACCCAATTCCCTCCAAGGAAACCAACATCCTAGAGAAGAGTCAGGAGTTCTCCTGACTTTGGACTGTAACAAATTGTGCCTGGGTGACCTTGGTTACCAACTCTATACCTCAATTCCTTTCTATTTAATGCACTAATAATTGCTACCTCAAAGGGCTGTACGAATTATGTGAGATAATGTATGTAGAGCACTTAGTACCTGGGGCATCATAATGGCCCAACATACGCTGGCTATCATTATTGCCACTGTTGCTTTGTCATTATCATCATTAATATCATATCCTCAAGGGAATAGCAGTTATTTCAAAGGAAAAATATAATGGCCTAGATAATCTCCAGTGAAAAGTTCACAGGTATCCCTCCTGTTCTTCAAAAGCTTAGCAGTTGGGGTCACGTGGTCTCTAATGACTCAGGTAGTTCTGCTAGAATTAACAAAAAAATTAAAATAAAATAAATAAAGCAGTATTTGGTGCCCTACTTTTCTCTAGTACAGTTTACATGTTCTCCTAATTCAACTTTTGAGTACACTCTATTCCACGGCCGTGCTGGGTTTACTCAGATGTGCTATAGAATAATTCACATTCTCCAAAGAAACTTCTCCACTCCCGCTGTCAAATTCCTTGCTGTAGGTGCGATATCAGGATTAATTTATTATTTCACCCTTGCTTAATTCATTCCACTGCCAGCTACCTATTGATGATGGACTTTGGTTGACAGCGCTGAGCAAAGTTTTAAGCCAAATAGTTTTAATAACTTGTTTACTGCGGGGTGGCCCGCCACTTTTGATTAAACTTCATGAGGATTTATAACTGTCCTTTCCCCCACACGTCTGTAACCTTTAAGGGATGTCTGATAAAAAACAAAGGCCGTGGGTCCAGGAGCCCCTGTTCTAATAAATATGTTAGACAGCTGATCCTGAACATGCAGCTGTTTCTCATCCTTTCTCCACCCTCCCCTCATTCATTTTTTACAGCAATTCCCAACAAGGATAAAAAATTAACACGAATAAATTAATGGTTTAATTTTGCAAGAGAAAGGAGAGAGTTTACGATGTCTCGCTGGGGAGTGGGGCTCCTGTCTTTGCTGATGACCCAAACGTGTCTGCCAAGGAGAAATATGGTGTCCAGTCTCCCATTGAACTGCCACAGGAATGGATTGGCCGTGGCTACTGGCTTGACAGGTGCAATAAATATTAATTAGTGTGCTTGGCTACAGAGGGAGTAATGATATACACTGCTCCTCTGAAGCGTTAAATTGTAGTGTTAGTCTTGATAATGCCTTATCTTCTCCATCACGGCCGGAAAACATTGTGAGTTACATGCACCCCCGTATAGGCAAAGAAATAAAGGTTTATCTGTTGTCAGGAATCACAAGTACGAAAGTGGGAACTGAGACTGCTTGTGAGTCAGGCACTAGGTATTTCCCATGGGACTGTTGTGTTTTGGTTTTTTAAATCATTATTACAAGAGGTTCGGACCAATTTCTGAAACATTTGTTGTTGTTAAGGGATAAAGCGGAAACATTTTTGCTATTGTCAAGATATTTGATTACATTGGAAATGGGTTTTAAGACTCCTTGTCTAAAACAGCGGCCACAATATGCATTGCATATTAGAGGAACTGTGCTTATTAGATTATGGGAAAGTTGATAGGTTTATGGAGTTGGACTGAATTGTTAGGATGGTCCCATGTGTGAATAAGTACCTATAACAGCCTGGGAACTGGAGGAGGCTGCTTTGAGGAACTAAAGGTAAAATTGCTCTCAAAATTCAGCTCTGATCAGAAACAAACAAAAAGTAAAAACAGTCAAGGAAGCCATGATAAGCAAATTAACATTAGCACAGATTCTAGGGTTGCAACAAAACACATTTTTGAAATGGAAATGTTTAGTTGTTTACACCTGAAGTTACAGCGAAACAACGGCATTTCACCGAGAAAGGAAGCTCTAATTAAATACTGATATTTTCTAAATCCTTAATTATAATGGCTTACAGTTCTGCCTAAAGGCTTCTCTAGGAGCTAATTTGCTGGAATATTACCATTTACACTTTTTCATTTGTTGAAGATCTTGCTCCCTCGCGAATTGCCTTTTTTAGTTTGTTGTAGCTTCATTTGTCATTCTCTTTCTGGGAAAGCTTCCTACCCCCTGTATAGGACAGACTAGCAAGAAACTTGGCAAACAAAGTTGCATTCTGGGTGGAATTCTACCCCCTCCTGTATGGCTTAAATGTGCTGATATCTGTATCTGTGCCACAACTGCAAAGAAATCATTTTTGGCCATGCGAACGCACGTGCATTTCTTATTCTCTCCTGGATCCCTGAGTTCTAGCAGCATATCCCCAAGCAAGTGTTTGTGGAGCTACAGGGAAACAGTACCCAAAGGGCACTGAAATATTAACTAATGATGGGTTGTCCGGAATCAGCAGGTGCCTGGGGACGAGGGCCAGATGATGTCTGCAAAGTAGAGTCCTCAGGCAACTTCCCAGCACACAGGCTGCTCCAGGCAGTGGGATATGCAGGTCCCTACTGCCCTCCTTCCTTACAACACGTCTGGTTGTCTTCCTAGAGGAGTGCAGAGTTCACCTCCCCTCCACCACCTTACTCCCCCCACCCCAAGCCTTGGAAAAGGTTTGTCTACCCTCTGGAGGTGGACTCTACAATTATAATCCTCTCTATTTCCTGCCTACAAGACCTTAAACACAGGACCACTGTGTGAAGCAGCTGATGGGGAGTAGGGATGAATATGTGAACAGTGACTTCTTGTCCCCAGCAGGGAGTCAGATCTCTAGAACTTTATCCTTGGCAGGATGGACCCAGAGGTGAACAAGGAGGCCCTCGGGATAAGAGCAAGGCATATTCTCTGGCCTCAAGTAAAAATGTGCTCCTCGAGGGGCCAGCATGGCTCAGTGGTTGAGATTTGACCTATGAATCAGGAGGTTACAGTTTGAGTCCCAATTGGGGCACATGCCAGGGTGCAGGCTCATTCCCCAGTGGGGAGCATGCAAGAGGCAGCTGATCAATGATTCTCTCTCATCATTGATGTTTCTATCTCTTTCTACCTCTCCCTTCCTCTTTGAAATCAATAAAAATACATTTTTAAAAATGTGATCTACAATCACCTGGACTAGCAGGTTCTGTCTAGTTCTATTATGAAACAACTCATAGAAATGGCCAAGTTTCTGTCATCAAAACACAGATAAGGAATGAAATCCTTGAAGAAGATTAGAATGTGGATGCCATGACCTCATTATTAAACACCGGCTTCCTGGTATGGGCTTCCTACCTACTTTGAAATTTTCCAAAGTTCAATGCCCTCAACAAAAATCAAGGTATGTCCAAAGGCAAACCAAGAGATAATATTCATGAACCAATTGGTACCATAAAAATTAAAAGTCCACCAACTGGATATTGAGAAAATGATAAAAACTGAGCAGGCTTTGATTCTTTTATTCAAGCTCTAGGGATTCTTTTTAAAACTCTCTTTCATATATAAGGTTCAGTATCTGCACTGGTCCTGGGCTACCACCTAATGATTGAAATTACCAAGCTTCCCCTCGGCATGGTTAAGAGACTCAAACAGAAAAACATCCAGTTAGATGCAAGTATGTTTTGTTGTTTTTCATAAGAACCGAAAAGGCCCTATTGAAAGCTCTACAAATATATATATTAAAAGCATACTAAATAAAGGGGATTCAAAACAGAAATAATAATGGAATTTGGAACTAGACATATCTGGGTTTAAATATGGTTTACTAAGAGATGTGCCGTCTTGGGCAAGTCCCTCCAGCCTCAATTCCCCATCTGTAAATGGAGTATAGTGGTACATCTCTATAAAGGGCTATTAGGAAGATCAGGTGAGATTATGCTTATAATGTTTGGCAGTATGCTTAATGCTAATAAATACATGTGTGGGAACCCTAATCAGAGTCCACTGGATGTTCAAGGCCAATTAGCCATACGCATGTGCAAAGGCAATGATAGCACAGTTTACTGTATGCACTGTACAGAAGTACCTTTCTATAACCCAAATATTAATATCACTATTTAGCAGGAAATCTCTTGTGTCTAAGTTGGCATAAAGACGTGTTACTGACCAGCCAGTGCACGGCTATTTTGTAGGGCTATTTTGAAGAACTGTTTTTGTCTGATGGCTCCTTGTTAGCAATGGCTACTTGGTCTGCAATAAAGTCTCTCCTATATGCCTACAACTGCTCATATTGTCTTCCAATACCCTGCGTCCATGGGGGTACAACCCCTAGCAGAGAAGGAGCTTTGCTCCATCAACATGTGATACATAAAAGTTACATGATATTAGTGATTGCTGTAATTATTGCTATTAAATTCCCAAATCTTTGCCATGACCCATAAGGCCCTGCACCATCAGATTTCTCTCCACAGTTATAACATGTAGTAAGCAGACTTACAGCCATCAAGAAGATCCCACACCTCAACCCCCAAGACTGTGAATCTGATAAGATAGCATGCCCATGAATATGTTAAGAGTAAATATGTTGAAAGGGTTGATCAATTGATTTTAAAATGGAAAGAGAATCATGGATTATCCATGTGAGTCCGATAACATCACATGAGCCCTTAAAAGCAAAGGCAGGCAAAGCAGAGAGATTTCAAACCTGAGAAGGACTTAACCTGCTATTGCTGGCTTGAAGATGAAAGGAGCCACATGGATAGTGTAATAAAGAAGTGATCAGCCAACCACCAGTGAGGATCCCAAGCCCCAGATGAGAACTGTAGCCTTTCTGATATCTGGATTTCAGCTTGGGAGACCCTAAGCAAAGAAGTCAGATGTGCCCAGACTTCTGACCTTCAGACACTAGGAGATAATAATTGGATTTTGTGTTAGGCCCTATATTTGTGCAATAGAAAACTACTGCAGCCACCTACCCCTTGCAAAGCAGACATTTGAATGTACCATGCATGTTCTTCCTACCTCAGGGCCTTTGCACAGGCTGCTCCCTCTGCCTATGTTCTCTTTCCCCAACTCTTCATCCAGCTAACAACTTTTGTTCATCCTTTTGGTGTCAGCTCAAATTTGACCTCTTCATAGAAACAGTCTTTGAATTTATTATCTAAAGTGGGTCTCTCCATTTCAACTCTCTTTCAAGACCAGGTTGGTCTCTTCCTGAGTTTTTGTCAGAGTTTGTAATTATCTTGCCTTTTTTCTCATTTATTTTTTCCTACTTGACTGGGAATGCAGAACATACCGTGACTCAATAAATAGTTGTTGAATAAGCGTAGATTAATGCTTTACTTCATTCAATCTTTATGAGTTCTATCTACTTCTGTGAGGTAGATACTGTTATTATCCCCATTTTACATATGATGAACCTCAAAAGTAAAGAGATTGAGTAACATTTCCAAGACCACAGAGCCCCTAAGTGATCAAACCTGAACATGACCCTAAGGCTCATATTCTTAATCTCTGAGCTTTCATGCCCCTGTGATGGGAAAAACATCAGAATGAGCCAACAGATTTTATTCCCCCAAATTTAGACATTTGGAGCACTGTAAGATATAACAGACCCTTCCATTCAAAATATTGCCTCCTGCCACAGCACTTGAGGCATGGTCTCTCTGTTAGTGTTCTGGGGCTGCTGAAACAAAGTAGGTGGCTTAAAACAACAGAAATGTATTCTTTCACAGTTCTGGAGGCCAAAAGTCTGAAATCAAGGTGTAGACAGGTCTATGCTCCCTCTGACACCTATAGGAGGGAATCTTTCCTTGTTTCTTCTTAGATTCTGGTCGTTGGCAGCAATATCCAGTGTTCCTTAGCCTGTAAATACATCACTCCAATCTCTGCCTTCATTGTCCTGTGTGTCAGTCCAAATTTCCTCTTTCCATAGAGACTACAGTCATAGTAGATCAAAGGCCCACCCTCCTTCAGTATGACCTTAGCTTTACTAACTAATTACACCTGCATTGACCCTACTTCCAAATAAGATCACATTCTCAGGCAGTGGGGGTAGGATTTCAACATATGAATTTGGGGGAACAAAACTTAACCCATAAACAATCTCCAAACTATAATATGTTTTGTTTTGTTTTTGTTAATCCTCAACCGAAGATATTTTTTCCATTGAGTTTTAGAAAGAGTGGAAAGGAGGGAGGGGGAGCGGGAGAGGGAGAAAAAGAAAGAGAAACATCAATGTGAGAGAGACCCATCAATTGGTTGCCTCCTGCATGGGCCCCAACCAGGGCAGGGACTGGAACCTGCAGCCTAGGCATGTGCCCTTGACTCAAAATCAAACCCACAACCACTGAGCTACACTGGCCAGGGCTACAATATGTGATTTTGAGATAGATCAGAATGAGGTATGTTCTCTATGTCCATGCTGGTCCTGCTCCTCTCTCTGCTGATGTGTGGCTTCTTCCTGGGTAGACCACAGCAGCTGAGGTCAGAGGCTGCTGCTGCAGCCCAGGTGGCTGTGACAGGAGGGAGCAATTAGAGAAAAGACTTGTTTGTGAAAGCCTAGCTCTGTCTCCTCATTACTTTCTCTCTCACCCTGCTTCATCCTTGCTCGCTGTCCAGGCTCTTGGGTGGTCATTTATGGGAAAGCACGTGACAGGCATGTATAACTGTAAAAGTGTGATCACTGTCTTGGACATTTGATTTGGCAAATGACGGTTTTATAAAAGCATCTGCAGAAATCTGTTTGACTCCTTTCTTGGTTTTAACTGGAGACAAAAATAGAAACATGTACAGCAGCCACCAAAATGAATGGAGCCAGGTTATTAAAACACTAAAATACCCACTCCTGACTCTGCAGCCAGTCACAACTCATATATGTTTTATTATACTAGCAAGAGACCACTGCACAGCTTGCAGTGTGACTTGAAGGTCACTGAATATGGGGAATTCTCCAACTGTTTCACAGCTACCACGGGTTATGTATGTGGAGCCTGCATATTTGCAGAGGAGGGGAAAAAAATCTATGCTTTAAAATTAGCCAAATTTTTCCAATAATAGAAAAATGTAAGATGAAACCCATGAAATATGCTTTAGGGCACCTAGTATATATTGGGACTGGAACAAAGAACCTCGGACTTTTAGTAAAATATATGTTGTGTTTCTAGAGCTGTGTGTTCCCACCCATCTCAGGCTCCCTTCTAGCCCATGGCTATCAAAAGGAAGGCAGTAAGAATAAAGCATTCCAATACCTGAACTGTACTGTTGTTTATGAACTCCTGGCATCCAGGTTAAAGTGTTGCAAAATAAATAATTAGATATTTAAAACAGGTGTGGCTTGGGCACTGGCAAAGAGAATAGACTCTGCCTGTTGCAGTAGAGGGAAGAGGCATTAATCCTTCAGTGCCTGGATCTCAGAGGAGGTCCAAAATAAGGATCAGGGTGACAACCCTAACAAGGAGTATTCTGGAGACATAGGGTCATGGTTATTTACTAACTGATAAATTGCATCAGTGTGAAACAGATAAAGACCAACATTATGCAAATGTATACCCCAAAGCTCACCTTGAATGTAAAAATCTGTAGACACAATTTACCATGGGAGATATGGGTAGGTATTTTCTTTGGGGTAAGATGTGAGTTCTCCCAGTTGTCCCTTGCTACAGCTCCTCAAGGTGGTGTTAAACCACTGAGCTATGGCATTTTTTTACCTGGACCTTAGCCATCCCTGTGAGGAAAGCTCACTGAGTCAGATGAGTCCCTATGTCACTAGATAGCCTCACATTCACAAAAGGTGGTGTTTTCTCAAACATTTTCAATACAAGTTGCAGCATTTTTTACAGAAAGCACTACTTTTACAGGAAACAAATACACCCAAAGACAGTCAAATGAACAGATTTTCTGCTCAATAGCTGAGGCTCACTTGGAATTTAGCTCCAGATGGCCCCTAGGTAATTTCCCATTACACCCTGTGATGTAGGCTGTCACAGGTCTAAACGGAATGGTTAATTCCTACAGTGAAGAAAGGACAATTGAAAAATCCATAAACTGCTTTCTGTTTAGCCTAAGAGAAGCAAACTGAGAGCCACAAGAATAATCCATATTCTTGAATTAGTTGTCAACAATTAAAGCTCAAATTTCTCATTTAAATAAAACTTGAATTTCCATATGGGCTTTAAAAAGTGGATCATCTAGCCACCCTGGTCTTCCAGCCCCAAATTACAACAACTTACATCACTCAGAGTAGGGAGGGACTGGCCCAGTGGCCAACATCAATTCACCATGATCCCCCTACAGGATTCGTTTCGGTTACCTGTCTACCCTCTGTGGGCATTTCAGGGTCTGACCCTTGATTTTGTCTGTCTATTGCCAAGGCCAATTTCTATCTGTAAGGGAAAGCCTCTGTATTGATTATAAGTTTTCAGGAAATTAACCTAAATTTTCTTAGCCTTGGTCACTGCATGTGAAATTCAATACTCATACTATTCCAAAACATTTTCAATTGCTATTCAGCTCAGATGCATTTACTTAAACAAGCAATTAGCCCTGGCAAGAAAAGGCTGAGAAGAAATTAAATTCACGAATCTGCTACTTATTCTTTCCTAGGTGATGCCATTAGTCAGTGTCCAAGGGTTGATGTGTGGCAAATATTGTGCCAATTCTGGTACCAAGGAGATTGGAGATAGGAATTTCTAATGTTTCAGAAAACTCAAAGAGGCAGAAGGTGGGGTTGGTAGAGAAATGGTACGTGAACTTACTTAATGTCTACTGAGCATACAGGCAGGCTGTGGGCTTGGGGCATGGGGATAATGATTGAGAGAATAAACCCAAAATTTACATGGTGTATATATATTATATATGAATATATGTGTATATTTTTGTATATGTGACATAGTTGCCACTGATTAGGAAATAACTGTAGAATACATTTGTAAATTAATAACTGGTATTTAAGGTACAAGTATAACTTATTTTACAGCTTAATTATCTTTTAAATAGGAAAAATTCATGGATGAGAGGAGAAAAAATGGCGGCCAAATAGGCAGATGTGTCTCAAGCCTTATCCTGGAGCAGATAGAAGGAGCATCTAAATTAAATAACATCCACCTGGAATTGGTGAAGTAGACACAGCTGGTGAGACAATTTGCAGCCAGAAAAGGCAGAGGAAGCCTGAAGAATGGTAGGATCGTGGATCTGGGCTGGAGAGAGTTGCAAGACCACTGAGTCGAGAGTGTCAGAAGCTGCACGGCACCAAGTCCACATCCCTTGGGGACAGGCATAACATCTGACTGTGGAAAGGAAGTCCGAAGGGCTGCTGGTAGCAGGGGATTCTAGATCTAAGTCCACAGCCCTGAGAGGCTGAGCCCAGAGGGTTGGCCTGAAGAACTGCCTGAGCTGCATGGTGCCCAAACGAGAGAAACTAGTATTCACACAGATGTTTCACTTCTGTTTGGTCTTTGCTTTTATTCATTAAACCCAGTTCATAGGACCTTTCAAATACAGTCACGGGTGGCTGAGGTGCAGGTGGAGGTGCAGACTTGTGGAGTCTGGGGAGAGGCTGTAGAGGAGAGTGGGTCAGGGAAAGGTGACCAGGAGTCCGGGACTGGAACATTCCTAAAACTAGTATTCACACAGATGTTTCACTTCTGTTTGGTCTTTGCTTTTATTCATTAAACCCAGTTCATAGGACCTTTCAAATACAGTCACCGGTGGCTGAGGTGCAGGTGGAGGTGCAGACTTGTGGAGTCTGGGGAGAGGCTGTAGAGGAGAGTGGGTCAGGGAAAGGTGACCAGGAGTCTGGCACTGGAACATTCCTAACCCTCTGGACCTAAGTAGCCATTTTTCTCCTGAAGAGCCAGCCCCTCCCAGCAGCCCCAAAACAGCTAATACAGCCACATCCAGACTACCCCCTGAGTCATGCAAAGGACAAAAAAATCTGAATAGCCCCAAAGAGCCCTCAAGGACTGGGTTGAAGAGAAGCTGTTAAGTCCCAGAAAGCAATACAGCACCCTGCCTACCTATAGCCCTGTAAAAAACAGCCCCTTGACAGGTTAAGATTGACAGCAGGCAGACAGGCTAAATGGGCAGATTAGTCCCACCTGCTTGAGGTCAAGGCTGTGGAGATATACAGAAACAGAGGAGCAGTGGATCACTTGAAACTTCAAAATGGTGCTGACTACCTAACAGGAAACTGAGAAGTGGCAGACAGAACAGAAGAGTGGGATCTTAAACCAGCCCCCATGGGGCATGAAAACTCAGCTGAAATGAACAACACTTCACTTTTTCTTTTCTTTATCTTTTTTTTAAGATTTTTTCTTTTATTTTTTATTTTTTTCATATTATTTTTCTTCATTCTATTTTTATTTTTTATTGTTATTCTAGTTTATGTTATTTTTATTTATTTATTTTAATTTCTTTATTAAGTTATTACATATGTGTCCTTATCCCCACATTAACTCCCCCATCCCCCCTCTCATGCCCTCACCCCCCTATTGTCTGTGTCCATTGGTTAGGCTTATATGAATGCATATAAGTCCTATGGTTGATCTCTCCCCCTTACCCACACCCTCCCCTACGTTCCCTCTGAGGTTTGACGGTCTGATCGATGCTTCTCTGTCTCTGGATCTGTTTTTGTTTATCAGTTTATGTTGTTTATTATATTCCATAAATGAGTGAGTTTATGTTATTTGTTATTTTCTTTTTTTTTAATTTTTATTTTTTTCTTTCTTTTCTTCTAATCCACTCATTCTCTTTCTACCTCCTCTATAGTGAACCAAGGCCCTCCGTCCCTCTATACATTCAATTCTTTAACCTTACCATCTGTATATAAGCTCTGCCTCTACAGATTCTGCCCCCCCCCTTTTTTTCTGAGTGTTTGTTGTTTGCATTTTTTGGTTTATCTCTTTGTTCTGTGGTTCTTTCTCCCCATATATTCTTTTCTCTTTATTTTTCTTCTTTTTCTTTTCTCTCTTACCCTTTTTTCTTTTCTTGATATCATTTTTGCTCTCTTTTCTCTCTCCTAATTCTCTTTCCTCTGGTGGTCACTTATATTGGGGTTATCAGTGTCATGAGTACATTCGTGTTTTGTTCCCTTCTGTCATATTTTGTTGAGTTGTATTTTGTGCTGTTCGGTCAATGGGGTAGAGAGCAAGCCACATAAGCCGACACCCTGAGAGAAGACTCCATCCACAAATGGGACAATAACACTCAAGACTCAACTACACCAAGAGAACCCAAATATCCCAAGTAGGGGGCATCCCTAGATTACCTAGCCCAGAAGACCGGAGAGATTGCACTACTGGGTCCAACAAAACATCTATATATAAGACAAACTCAAAAAACCTGGGTTGACATAGCAGTTTGATCTAATACATAGAAACAATCACAAAGGAAAAAGCAAAAATGGGGAGACAAAGAAACCATCCCCATTAACCAGAAAAGGAAATAAATGAAATGGAGGCAAGCTATTTGTCAGAGAAAGAATTCAGAACAATGATTAAAAGAACACTGAAAAGGATGGAAGACAAATTCAACAACATGTGTACAAATCAAGAGGAAATGAAGAAGAATCAAGAGGAAATGAAGAATGACATAGGTGCAATAAAGAACACAATGGAAAGTTTCAACAGTAGACTAGAAGAAGCTGAGTACCGCATCAGTGAGTTAGAAGACAAGGTGGAAAACCACCCAAGCACAGCAACAGAAAAGAAAACTTAAAAAGCAGGAGGAGAACCTAAGAGAGCTTTAGATAACACAAAACAAAACAACATCCACACAAAAGGGGTGCCAGGGGAAGCAGAGGAAGGAATGGAAAACCTGGTTGAAGAAATAATGACAGAACACTTCCCTGATGTTTGGGGGGAAAAAACCACACAAGTCCAAGAAGCTCACAGAGTCCCAAACAAGATGAACCCAACAGACCAACACCAAAACACATCATAATTAAACTGGCAACATCAATGACGAAGTAAGAATCTTAAAGGCTGAGAGAGACAGAAAGTTACCCACAAGGGATTTCCCATCAGACTATCATCTGATTTCTCAACAGAAACACATCAGGCCAGTAGGGAATGGAATGAAATATACAAAGTCATGCAAAGCAAGGGACTAAATCCAAGAATACTATACCCAGCAAGGCTATCATTCAAAATTGAAGGTGAAATCAGGAGCTTCACAGAAAAAAAAGGGCTAAGGGAGTTTATTACCACCAAGCCAGGAATACAAGAAATTCTAAAAGCACTGCTATAAAAAGAATAAAAAGAAAGGGAAGAAGGAACACAGGCATAAAGAATAAAAATGGCAACAAACAAGTACCTATCACTAGTAACCTTAAATGTAAATGGATTAAATGCTCCAATCTAAAGACATAGGGTAGCTGAATGGATAAGAAAACATGACCCATATATTTGCTGTCTATAAGAGACCCACTTCAGAAAAAATACTCAAACAGACTGATAGTGAATGATGGAAAAAAAATTTTCAGGCAAATGAATATGAAGAAAAGCTGGGGTAGCAATATTTATATCTGACAAAATAGACCTCAAAGTGAAGGCAATAACAAGAGATAAGGAGGGCAACTTCAAAATACTAAAGGGAGCAATTCAACAAAAGGATATAACTCTGGTAAACATATATATACCCAATACAGGAGCACCCAAATACATAAAAAAACTTCTGGAAGATATCAAGGGAGAGATTGACAGCACTACAATCATAGTAGGGGACTTTAATACTCCATTTACACCACTGGATAAATCCTCTAAACAAAAAATCAGCAAAGAAACAGCAATCCTAAATGGCTCACTAGATCAGATGGAACTAATTGACATCTTCAGAACATTTCACACCAAAACTACAGAATATACATTCTTCTCAAGTGCATACAGGGCATTCTCAAAGATAGACCACATATTAGAACACAGGCAAAGTCTTTTCAAATTCAAGAAGATTGAAATCATATCAGGCATCCTCTCAGATCACAATGGCATAGAATTAGAAATCAAATACAATGAAAAATATCAAACACTTGGAGGATAAATACCATGCTATTAAATAACGATTGGGTTACCAAAGAGATAAAAGAAGAAATAAAAAGCATCCTGGAAACAAATGGCAATGAAAATACAATAATCCAAAATCTATGCACACAGTGAAAGCAATCCTGAGAGGGAAGTTCATAGCTCTACAGGCCTACCTCAAAAAACAAGAAAAAATGGTAATAAAATATCTAATCCTACAAATTAAAGAATTAGAAAGAGAGCAACAAGAAAAGCCCAGAGTAAGCAGAAGGAAGGAAATAATAAAGATCAGAGCAGAAATAAATGACATAGAGACACAAAAAAAAATCAATAAAACCAAGAGCTGATACTTTGAAAGAATAAACAAGATTGATGAACCTCTAGCCAGGCTGACCAAGAAACAAAGAGAGAGGACCCAAATAAACAAAATCAGAAATGAAAGAGCTGAAGTAACAACCAACCCCACAGACATACAAAGGATTATAAAAAAATACTATGAACAACTCTACTCCAACAAACTGGACAACCTAGACGAAATGGACATATTCCTCAAAAAACAAAGGCTTCCAAAACTTAATCAGGAAGAATCAAAAAACCTGAATAGGCCAATAACTACTGATGAAATTGAAATAATAATCAAAAAACTTCCTGCAAACAAAAGCCCTGGACGAGACAGCTTCACAGGGGAGTTTTACCAAACATTCAAAGAAGAACTAAAACCTATCCTCCTCAGACTATTCCAAAAAATTCAACAGGAAAGCAGATTTCCAAGTTTATTCTATGAAGCCAGCATTACCCTAATCCCAAAACCAGATAAAGACACTACAAAGAAAAAGAATTACAGGCCAATATCCCTCATGAACATAGATGCTAAAATCCTCAAAATTCTAGCAAATCTAGCAGATCCAGCATTACATTAGAAAGATCATATACCATGACCAAATGGGATTTATTCCAGGGATGCAAGGCTGGTACAATATCCACAAATCAATAAACATTATACATCACATAAACAAATTGAAAGACAAAAATCACATAATCATATCAATTGTTGCAGAAAAAGCATTTGACAAAACCCAACATCCATTCCTGATAAAAACTCTCAGCAAAGTGGGAAGATAGGGATCATACCTCAACTAATAAAAACCTTATATAACAAACCTACAGCAACATCATACTCAATGGGTAAAAACTAAAACCATTTCCCCTAAGAACAGGAACAATATAAGGATGCCCACTCACACCACTCCTCTTCGACATAGTACTGGAAGTGCTAGCCATAGCAATTAGACAAGAAGAAGAAATAAAAGGCATCTAAGTTGGAAAAGAAGAATTAAAACTGTCATTATTCGCAGATGACATGATATTTCACATAGAAAACCCTAAAGATACCATCAAAAAACTACTGGACTTAATAAATGAATTCAGCAATGTAGCAGGATACAAAATTAACACCCAGAAATCTATTGCTTTTTTATACACCGATGAACTCACAGAAAGAAAAAATAAAAAAGCAATCCCACCTGGCATTGCAACAAAAACAATTAAGATACCTAGGAATAAACTTAAGTAAGGAGGTAAAAGACCTATACTCAGAAAACTAAAGGATGTTGAAAAAAGAGATAGAAGAAGACATAAATAAAAGAAAGAATATACCATGTTCATGGATTGGTAGAATCAACATCATTAAAATGTCCACACTACCCAAAGCAATCTATAGATTCAATGCAATCTCCATTAAAATACCAATGGCATATTTCACAGAACTAGTACAAACTCTTCAAAAATTCACCTGGAATTTAAAAAAAAAAATAGCTGCAGCAATCCTGAGAAAGAAGAACAAAATTGGAGCGATCACAATACCAGATATCAAGCTATGCTACAAAGCCACTGTTCTCAAAACTGCTTGGTTCTGGCACAAGAACAGACATATAG